AGTTCACGATAGAGCATGCTCGTGAACTGTCAACGGGGGGGGGGCGGTGTTATGCGCATGCACCTCGCGGGACGCGCACAGCGTAAAGCAAAACTTCCCAGACATGTATTGATCTGTACGGCAAAGTACGGTTTGGAAACTATATAATTTCCTTTTGGAGGGCATGCATAACACGGCATAACACCAGAGCCTGGCTGCGGGGAAACGTTGGCGCTGCTCCGAGTTTGTTCTAATCTGTCAAAATGACAGACTGCTTTCAGATTTTTCCGTCATTGTTAAATAAAATATTCGGTTAACGCGACCACTGCTGTCCCAGCAACATCAGTACCAAGCGAGAGAGTTTTTTCCACAGCAGGGGATATTGTAAACGCCCAAACATCCCAGCTTCTACCTGGAAATGTGGACATGCTCATATTCCTAGAGCACCATTGAGTTCTTTGTAACCAAATGTCTCTCAGAGGGGCGTGGGGAGGGGCTCCTTATTTTCATCTAAAGTAACAGACAGAGAATCAGCACTTTGGAAACAGGGGATTATGGGTAATGCTGCAATGATCTGTTTGGTGTTTCAGCCAATCAGAGACAGGCTCTGTATATATCTGAGACCTGTGATATATTGATGAAAAACGGTAGGGGACCCTTAAATACAGTAACAAAGTATTTCTACTCCACCAGGTTTCGGACGACATGGAGCAGCAAAAGGTGAAGAGGATACCATGTCCACGGCCCATTGAACCAGCAGTCGGTGCCAGCTCCTCTCTGGATCTCACCTCCAACGGCTCGTCCTCTCGGAGCGTCTCTAAAACGGTCTCAGAGACGTCCAGTTTCTACTCCAACAACAACCTGCAGGAATAAAAACCTCAAACACGGCAGGAAGAGAGCGAGTTGATGTTCACATAGCTGCGTTTTCGCATGTGTGTAGTCATGCAAAAGAACGGTGTGAATGTTCTGATGAATATATTTCCAGTGTGGAGCAAGTGACACGAATTCCCTGTCCTTACCCACAATGCCCCTGTATAAAGTATTCATGTTGCTCGATGTTTGATGAGAAGTAATGACGAGCTCTTCTAGCCTCTCTGTTTGTCACCACAGCTCCTCTCCATGCAGAGTGAAGGATCACACACTCAGTCACACATGCTGCGTGACTTCACATAGTCTATTTTCGAGTGGAGCTTCAACATGACACCAGTATGCTCCGGAAAACTCTAACAAAGAAAAAACCTGGCTTTCACAGTTAGTCCCTCTCCGGAAGAAGCCAGGTAATGAAGACAGAAAAACAACGAAGTGTGTGTGAGAACGCTAACACACAACTCTCTGCGCAGTCCGTCGTGAAAGATTAGTGTGTGTTTTGCTGAAGGAGTGCTCGAAGGACCCTCTTTCAACAGTTCTGATAAGTTTGAGCAATCATCCTGATAAATGCTTTGGCTCGGCTTTCATCTCGCTAAACGTCGACTTTAACTGCCCGGAGCATCATTTATGAAAAGAGAAGAGGTGTGCTCCGAATGCTGAAGAGTGAAAAGAAAACAGAACGAGGGCTGAGGCAGCAAAAACTAAGTCTGAGACTGATCTGATGAAAAGTTCAGGTTTCCTGTAGATCAATTCAGTTTCACAGTCATATCCCTTCCCCCCTCAGCTCCCCCCCTAACTCTCTGCTATCTGCTCTTCACTTCCACCTGGCAGGAACAAGCCCTCTGTGTCTTAAAGGGGACATGTTATGCTCATTTATCTGGGCTTCTCCTAGGACATGTTGAAAGAACACATTCATTTTCTCATACCCTCTGTGGGAATATAGCTGATTTGAACCCAGTTGCCAGGTAACAAAATATATGTTTCAGCAAAACTACCAATACATTTAAGTGCAACTTACAAAACAACGTGTCTCGCATGTGTTTCATATCCGCCTTTTATTTGGCTTTCAGACACAAACAATGCCTTGAGGTTTAAGATATGATAGGATTGTTTAGGTTTTATAAAAAGATAATGGTTTGACTTTTAAATTAAGCATTCAAACTCACTCAACTTGGTTTTCGGATCATACTGACATCACTAACACTCACGCTCCTATTGGCTAGCGCTCCAACACATTGTACGTGATAGGCTAAGGGGCGGGACATCTCTAAGCGGTTGATCAATCACAACTGAGCCGGCCAGCTAACCAATCAGAGCAGACTGGGCTCTGGTTTCAGACAGAGGGTGAAAAGAGGTGCTGCAGCACAAGCAGTATGAGACAAATAAAGAGCTTTTTGAAAATTAAAGCATGGAGACATGTCTCAGTAGAGACACTACATACTGATATACACCTGAACATCAGCAGGAGAGGACTCTTTAAAGTAGAGACACTACATACTGATATACACCTGAACATCAGCAGGAGAGGACTCTTTAAAGTAGAGACACTACATACTGATATACACCTGAACATCAGCAGGAGAGGACTCTTTAAAGTAGAGACACTACATACTGATATACACCTGAACATCAGCAGGAGAGGACTCTTTAAAGTAGAGACACTACATACTGATATACACCTGAACATCAGCAGGAGAGGACTCTTTAAAGTAGAGACACTACATACTGATATACACCTGAACATCAGCAAGAGAGGACTCTTTAAAGTAGAGACACTGCATACTGATATACACCTGAACATCAGCAGGAGAGGACTCTTTAAAGTAGAGACACTACATACTGATATACACCTGAACATCAGCAGGAGAGGACTCTTTAAAGTAGAGACACTACATACTGATATACACCTGACCATCAGCAGCAGAGGACTCTTTAAAGTAGAGACACTACATACTGATATACACCTGAACATCAGCAGGAGAGGACTCTTTAAAGTAGAGACACTATA